TATGAAACCACCTTCCGCATTCTAATAAAAAAAATTCTTTGCAAAATTTTGAGGTAAGTACTTCTTTGTTAATGCTTTATCCTAATCATACCATAGCACACACCCTTACCCTAAACAAATGCATTACTAGTTTGTTTTGATTTCACGCTACAACTGATCTTATGGGGTGCGCTACAACGCATTCGCGCAAAATTATTAAATCCTTTTGTTTATATTTTTTAATAATAATTTTAACTTAAATCTTTATTTTTTTTTATTTTTTTTGGTTTTAAGATGAAGTTTTGCTTATATTTTTATTAGTAATAATTTTTAAATAGTAACAATATAGATTACTACAGTGTAGTTACTAAGGCTTTCACTTGTAGTTAAAGCTGTTAACTACTAAATATAGAAATTTACAAAGCTACTATTATTTATACCAGTACAAATAAAAATAAAAATTATATACAAGAATAAGAGCTCAAACAAAAAAAAATTTATTTGTAATCTAAATCTACTAGTGTGGTCAAAGACTCACCTAGATTACTATAGTTAATATATAATTTAAATAATATATTTGGCTTAATAAATAAACCAAGTATTAATTTTTTTTCGGATCTAACCAACTGGTAAGCAGACTTCTGTACATAAATATAGTTAATCTGATGATTCACATAGACAAGAATATATATATATTTTATATATACAGTTAATATTTTGAAAGCATAAGTCTGAACTTAGATCTTTCAGATCTGAGTTAGTAGTATATTGAGTAGAGTTAGATCTGTTATATAGATAGAATAGATGTTATTGTTTTTTCTAGTTAGCAAAGTTTGTACAATAGAGTTTTCATAATTGTTTATATAATTGTTCACTTAAATCTTTTTAATTTTTTTGAATTCAAAATTTTTTTTTTTTTAATTCAGCAGTCCTGCCTATTACTTTTTATTTGGAAGTACTAGAATTTATATCAACAGGAAGATACAATTTTCTATACTATATTCTATACGAGTAAAGATCAACTTGAGTTAAACTCAGAGAATGATCTATCTAGTAGCAATTGGCCTCACATTAGATTTTCAACTTACTAAGGATATGAACTCTCTGATCCTTAGCCCTAGTAGCTGCATCACTTCATCAAAAGAGCTAAATTAATGAAAACACAAACACAAAAAAAAAAATAAAACAGAGGTATAGGGGATACAATAAAAAATACAAACAAGAAAAAGAAAAGAAGGGGGTAAAGAAGTATCGAAAAAAACAAAAAAGAGAAATTTGTCTATCCTAATGATCACTATTATAAACCCGTAAAAGATTTGTAAAAATTACATACTACTAAATAAGGCTCAAATATAGTATAGCTTGCCTCTACCCTAAAATTTAGGGTATGCATCTAAAAATTAGAGTATGTACTCCAAAAAATAAGATGCATACTCTATAAGACACTGTTTGGCTTATATTACACAAAAAAGCACCCTAGATCCTAAAAATAAAGTTATATGACATAAAATATACCTTAAAAAATAGGGTATGTACCTTAAAAAATGGGGTATATATTCTAAAAAATAAGGTATATACCCTAAAAATTGTATAAAAAAAGAGTACTGTATTTTCATATAATAATGCATATCTGTGCATTATTTTGAGTACCTGTGTATTATTTCGGGACACATATGTGTGATATTTCAGATCAATATTATTAATAATTTAATAGATATGTGCATTATACTTATATTTATCGTGCAAACTCTTAGAAAGGTGCGTTATTTTGGAACACACATGTGTGTTATTTTGAGTCAAATAGACGATTTTTAAAAAAGTGGCATTTTCGAAATAACGCATATGTGTGTTATTATATGCAAATATGGTATATAATAGTATTATATATATATACATTCGTGGGTTTCCCTGTGATAATTCTGGCCAAAAATTGGTATAATGCTGATAAAAAGGGGCAAGCTATACTATATTTCAGCCTTAAATAAAATAGTTCCTACTTTAACTTTATCTAAATAGTATATGGAAGCTCAAAACCAGTGGAAAAATACTTCTTCAACTTTAATTATAGGGGTCGGGATTCAATTCTAGTCTCAGAGTATTGTTTATTGACTTGTTGTATTCGAGGCACGTGCCTTGATGTGTTTGTTGTCCTGTTGTACTGATTAGGAAGTAAACAATACTAACTGTTTTGGTACACATGATATTAATCTTTTGGAGGGGGTAAACTGAAATGCTCACTTTTATAAAAACTCTTCAAAAAAAAGTAGTAGGCTAATGAGAGTATATAAGGTTCTTTTTGTAAGAGTTACAGTTGTATAGTCCAGTTTCTTAGTTTCTACTTAGTATTCCTATTCAGAGACTCACAGTACCGTTGCTCCCAAAATATTCTTTTGGTTTGGATGTCAAAAGTGCGAAGGAGTCTACTAAAAGCTTGACCTAAAAGCATAGTCCACTCGTTGTTTATACACCTACTTCTCGGTATTTCACGTATACAAAGTTTTGTCAACAGCAAGTATATTTGTATAGTACTAGGAATATTTAGATATCTACTTTGTTGCTTTTCTATATCATTTTTCTGTAGTTCAGTTTGTTTTGTTGTTGACCAAGGGATCATTAGAAAAAGTTGTATGATATATTGTGAATTCAAAATATTTATTATTATATTTTTTTAATAATTTTATTTAAATTTTTGCTTTTTTTGTAAAATATAAAAACAGTATTATTAATTATTTAATTATTTTTTATCAAAAACTTATTCTCTTTCTTTTTTTAATATACTATATATAAAATTAGATTTTAAGATATGATAATTTAGTAAAGTAGTTATTATATTCTCAAGTAGTATATTAATAGATTAGAGTTTAAAACTTACTGATAATGATAATTTAAATTTTTTGATTATATAATAGTTATTGTTTTTTAATGATCAGTTAGAACAAGATTTTTATAATTTTAATAGTACTAATAAGATTAAAAGATTATATAATATTTATAGAATATATAAGTTATACAAAAATATATAAGCTAGTTTCACTAGTCAAAAGGTGAAATTTGACCCCAATTCGGCCAGAAATTGGCCAAAATTTGACTACAAATCAGTAGTCGATTGGCAAATTTTAGTTGAACTCAGGTCAAATTAGCCAAAATAATCGACCTAGATTCAATCCAAAAAAACACCAGGTAAAAAAAAAAAGATAGCCAATTGTTTATACAGGTAGCTGATTATAGGCTGATTGTTTATACAAGTAATCGATTATAGGTCAAATGCTTAATTTTTAATATTCAACCTAAATTCAGGTATCGAATTTTGGCTGAATATTTATAACAATCAGCCAAAATTCGGTATCCGATTTTAGGTTGAATGTTAAAATTAAGCATTCGATCTATAATCGACTACCTGTATAAACAATCAGCCTATAATCAGCTACCTGTATAAACAATCGGCTACTTTTTTTTTTACCTGGTGTTTTTTGAATCGAATTTAGGTCAATTATTTTGGCCGATTCGACCTGAGTTCGACCAAAATTTGCCAATCGACTACCGATTTGTAGTCAAATTTTGGCCAATTTCTGGCTGAATTGGGGTCGAATTTCACCTTTTTGACCAGTGTTTAGAGTAATACAAATCTAAAATAAGTTTTGTGATTATATAATATTAAAAAAACTAAAAAAATAAATACTATATTCCCCTGAAAATAAGCATCTTTTTTTGGACTTAATGCTGGCTATAATTGTTGTAAAGCAGGCCAAAATTGGTATAGTGTGAACCAGGATGCTTGTTTTTAGGAAATGCTTATTTTTAGAGAAATACGATATCTATTTGGCAAGATCCAAAAAGAAAAATAGTATAAACCTTTAACAAAGCTATCAAAATAGGCTATATCCAAGATTAATGAACTGAACAAACTGATTATTTAAAAAGATACTTTATTAACTAGATCATCAAAGTATCAACCAGAAAAAAATTTGCAAATCAAATACCATACTAGGCTATCTGAATTGAAAATCTAAAAAGACTAGAAGCTATTAAGAATAAAAAATACCAGATAATTTGATAAAAAATCCAAAAATTGAATAAACTTTGCAAGAACTGAGTAGGTAATAGTAATAACTATAGTAACTTACAAGTACTTGTTCTTGGATTTGATATAAGTTATTAAAAAAAAATTAGGTTATATAATAAAAGTAAATATCCAAACAACTCTAACAAGCAATATACTTGAGAATAGTTGTTTTATAGATAGTATATAATAATCTAAAAGATATGAATTGACTTATATATCTTATGTTCTAGGTAAGATTAGATCAAATTAATATAGAAAACTTAAATCAGAGGGTTTAAATAGGAGATCCATAGATGGATCTTAGATATAGCATATGAAAGATAACTATAATAAAATAATAAAACTTTTAAATAGGCAATAATTAAAATTATATATATATCTATATATATTCTTGTCAAAATATACTATGTCTAAAACCTTTGAAAATACTAGTGATTTCTTAAGCATCTAATAAAAGCGTTAAACCAAAAAAGCTAGCTTTAACCACAAAAAAAAATAAAATCAGGTTCTTATATATAATTTTAACTTTTTTACTCCCTTTCAAAAAATCATATAATTTTTGTTATTTTTCTAATATTAAATTTTTCAAGATTTCTTTAAAAAATAATAAATCATCCTGAAACTTATATTAGCTTAGTAATTTTTTCTAATCATTTGGCTTCAAGATCTTTTAGATTTCTAATAGCTTTTATTACTTTTGCTAAATAAGTGTCTTCTTGATATTTGTTTATATATTTCTTTATTTTTAAACTAATCAATACTAATATATTTATAATTGTATTTTTACCGGGATTAAGTTGCACGATGAGAAGTAGTGGCAGTCATATGGTTAAAATTAAAGTATTGCGTGACTTTACCCCGGATCAAAATAGAAAGTTTCAAGGTTAATTATATAAAATATTAAACTACATTATTGATTTTAGTAAAAAAAATTACTAATTCAATTATTTCATTTTAATCAATAAAAGACTCTAGCTTTTAATTGATATTTCTTGCCATTCTGATCTCCTCTGAAATAGGTATTATGCAACTTTCTTACCATTCGGTAAGCTTCTTGTTTTGACTTAAATACAAGTAACCATTTTGATGACATTGGTGCAATTCCAGGGCTAATAAAAAAAAAATTGTAGTAAATTTTTTCTATTAATAGATTTATAAACTTGAAATAAATTAATTTCATACATCTGTAATGGTATAAATTGTTCGCAGAGCGTATTTGAGATGCCAGGATAATCTGATACAAGGGTTTCTTTTATACTGTCAATTGCAATATTAACGGGAAAACCGCTCACAATGATGCAATTCCCCGGTTCCCTGCGTAAGTACTGCGGTAACTTTCGTTGAAACACATAAGCTTTGGACTAAACATAGTTTGTATGTAAATTATGATATATCACTGTAATAATATAACAAATATGAACGTTATTCAACATTCAATATATTTACATGTGTAACAATGTCCAATTTATGCCCACAAAAAGATGTCATGGAATTCTTTGTCATGAATCGTTCTGCATCTTTTTCGGTATGAAAACGTACCATAACCGAACCTGTAAGCTGAAAGTAATTGTTACGAAGAAAGGCAACTACAACATTTTGAAGATGAAAATTTGATGTTAATCGTCAATTATAAAGAAATAGAAAAAAAAAGGACTCAAAACATACTTTCGCTGATAGAACTCACGTTCTTGGAAGTATCACCCGCTAAAATTTTGATATCTTGAGGGATTACTGTATACGGTAGGTTTTTGATCTCGATAAGATTGGTGTTTTTTCCCTTGGCCACTAAGACGAATGCGTTGAATCAAGTTGAAAAAGGCTATATTAAACCTTTAAGTAATACTCGGTATAACTTTACTACGTGCATGCGACCAACCTGGAGGAATAGTTGTTCGCAATCCTTCTGGTATCCTTTCCCATTTCTTCGCCAGCTCAGAAGGTTTAAAAGGCTTCTGCGATAATGAATCACCTCTCAGTTTAGCTGCAAATGAACTTTTCGAAGAGGCAATTGGTGTAATTAGACGAAGCCATTTTGGCCTGACAGCGAAAGACGAGGCCAAACTATACATAGGTGCCGAAAATATTTTGCTCTTGGCGTAAATTTACACGGCGAAAATGACTTTTGACAGACAAAATTGTAAATAATTTAGTATATCGATGTCTAGTATGCCGAGAATATTTCTGTCATTTTTTGTAGATTATCTACCGTGATTTGTCGTGATAATTAACCAATCAAAATACATAATTTTAAAATTTATCATATACTATATACTAGAAAACGAAAAAAATTTCATATCAGATATAAAGCTTATAAACTGATAAATATACGCTAAAGAATTTATCACATATATCTAAAGAATAGATAGGCACGCGTAAAGTGGGTAAATGTTGCATTTAATACTAATAAACCCAACTTATTAAGGAATTCCCAAAAGCTTTAATTTACACATTACAAGAACCGACCAAATTTAAACATTAACACAAATCTTATACTACAGTGCAGACAACCTAGTCCCGACTAATAAAATTGATGCAATTCAAATTGCTAATCCTTTTACAAAAAAAATAGTAAACAAAAAATACTATCTTAAAATGTTAAATCAAAACAAGCTAAACACTCCCAAGTTCTTAAATTTTTTTTAAATCTATTTATAAAAAAGTTATAGCAAGTTGAAGTTATAGTATTTTTATAATTAAATATGAAATTTGGCCACCTTTTATATATATAAAAAAAAGTAAATTTGGCCTCTTTAAACAATTAATTTTATTTTTATATCTATTAAAATTTTAAATTTAACCACTTTATATATAAAAATTAGCTAAATTTTTAAATTGGCCTCTTCATATATATAAAAATAAAATCTGAATTTGGCCACTAAAAATTTTTATTGGTTGGGACTAGGTTGTCCGCACTGTACTAAAGAGCTTGTACCTATTCAAATTAAACAGCTAGCAATAAAAATTCAACGTAATAAAATAGCTATAGACGAAAACGTTTCTAGTTACAGTATAATTTGATATGGCCCAACAAATGGTAGGTATATTTTGTCTTCTAAATAGCTTTTATGTATGTACTTATTTAGAGTGGAATCTTCGTTTTATGCATTGGCAAATAGATATTGATGGGGTTGGCCAGGGATAATTAAAAGTTATAGAAAATACTTTATAGTGAATATTTACGCTCTTGCGAAGCTAACGGTAAAAAAAGATTGTTTTGTTTATTAATAAAACTTTACGTTATCGAAAAGTATTTAAAAGGTATAAATAAGTTACCCGGCAATAGATCTATGGGCCCTTGCTCGTCTTTTGTGTTTGTTTATTTTCTTCTGAATTTTACATTTCACTATCCTAATATCGACTGAAATAAATCATTAAGTCCGGATCTTCTACTACTAAAAAGTTTGGAGCAATAAGATTTTATTTAAATCTAACGTAATAAAGTAATTTCGGACGAAAACAATTTTAGTTACCTTCACTCTACAGTGTGATTTCACGCGGTCCAATAGGCGCTATGTATATTTTGTCTTCTAAGCAAAGCAGGTCGTGAGACAATTTCTTTTTAGATTCTTTTGTATAGTGAACATTAACGTTCGTTTAAAGCTAAGAATGAGATTTTTATTAGTAAAACGTTACGTATAAATAAGTTACCCGGACATCAGCCAATTAAACGAAAGTCCTCTTACGTATGATGTTTTCATTTTTTGTGCTGGTAATACAAACTCCTAAAAAGGATAAACACCTGATAAAAAATCTGCCGAATGATTTTTTGGCTGTTCCGGTTAAGTTCATAATTTTTGAACCCGCTATTGTTCGGGCCAAGCACTCAGCCAAGCACAAATCGGGCTTGTTAAATATCGGGCCGGTTCAGGCTTCATGAGGAAGCCCGATCAGGCCCGATAATACCCAGTAAACTTAGTCATTAGCCATGTGATAGAAGTAGCGGTTTTTCAGTTTTAATTGGTTTTTAATATTTGAAAACTAAAACCGGGATTCAATCTCCAAATAGAAGCACTTAAGGTCATAATGATTTTTAAATAGATTCTTGCATATCAATCTGCCCATTTTTTATTTATAGCCGCTAAATATGTAATCATTTGGTCTAGCACTTATTTATAAATAAATGATTTTCTAGTATAGAATTAATTATTGTGGTTTGTAAAAAGAAATTATTTGAGCGCAATAATATAACGTACTGGACAAAACCCCTGAAAAAAATTTGATCGGCCATGTATAACGATAGTATGCAATGGAGAACCATATGTAAAAATTTAGTCAACCGTGTATTTAGAGAGGTATTGCATTTAGGGGTTTCATTGTATGTCTTTAATCAAATACTTGGCAGCTCTCATTTCTAACCAGGGCTAAAACGACACATAGTATACGGTGGCCATTTTCTGCGCCACTTCCTATTGTTTAAAGTATCTTTTTTGATACATCCGATTACTAGTATGAATATTTTAGTTTAGATCATTTTTAAC